TATATCTTCTCCGGTACATCTTTCCTTTAGTGGCTCACAAAAAAGTAGTTCTTTGTGTATTTCATTATTGAAACAGAATCTAGCAAATACCATAAGCTGAGACATGTTAGAAACATCTGTACTTTCATCCAACTGTATAGCAAACTTCCCACACTGCGTAATTTGTTCTAATACTTGTTTCTTCAGATCTTCAGCAATGTTTTTTATGCATCTTCCAACAGTATTTGCTGACAAACGAATGCATTTTAGTTTGTTTTCTGTGCATTAGTTCAGTCATTTTTACTGTGGCAGGAAGAACAAGTGTTTCCCCAATGGTATGTAGCTTTTTGTCTTTTGCTATTAAGTAAGAAACCTCAAAAGAGGCTTCTAAACATTTATCATTAAGTTTAGTGACATTTTGTAAAGTACTGGATTGAGTATCGCATGACTTTAAACATCACTGAAAAAACTGTAGTGGTTTGTCTTCATGTTCTGGATGCTTAGTTTTTAAATGTCTTGCTAATTGTGATGGCTTCATACTATCATTAGCTAATATCTCAAGGCACAGTATACACTTAGGGTGAGGTTCATCGTTAATGATACTGGATGTAAGTCCATATTTCAAATAGTCTTCTTGATAATTTTGAATTTTTTTGGCCAACTTCTTGTCAGATCTAATTAGATCGTCATTGTTTTTACCTCATAATGTGGCTGACGAAGAACTCATACTAGGAGTAGGAGAAGTGTCAGCTCTGCCATTTTCTTGTTGTTCGCTTGTGCTCGCATTATTAATATTATCTTCAATCCGCGGTTTCTTTGCAGGAATCTTTTTAAGCCACTTGTCCATTTTGTTAGTTTAGTTAAAACTAGATAATATAATCTGTAAATCCACTTAACCGGGCACACGTAAACTGCAGTACGTCGCAATGTGCTGAGAGCAAACGAACGAGTGAGGGCGCCACTGTCAACCCCTCCGCGTTGTGGAACTCCCACTCTTCCCTCAGGATACCTCATGTACCATATGTGACACATGAGCATCTGACATATGGACCGAGTGAGGGCGCCATTGTCAATCTGTATATTAAATATTAGTAAAGATTAATTTCTTTCTTATTTTTTTAGAAAAAATAAATATAAATAGAAGTTCTAATATTTTCTTCCTGCACCCCAATGGATCGTCTTGCGCACCCCCTGGGGTGCGCACACCCCACTTTGGAGACCACTGCTCTAGGAGATGAGACAGCACTTCCTTCTCTCCCTTTTATTAGCCAATGGGAGCTTACAGGAAGGTAATGTGGATTTCAGGGGGATGTTCTGAATCACTTCATATAGTGTGAACAGACTGAAAGAGATTTGCTCATATGGGGACCTTATCCCATTTTCATACAGGCAGCCAAAGGCAATGGTTGGGATCCCTGTGGCTGAGAACTCAGAGTATGGTAGTTCAATATAGGCCAGATCTGAGTAAGCACTGTGGCCTTCATAAATGACCCAAGGCTCAGTCCAGCTCTCCGCATCCCGGGGGAATGTACTGAGGTAAATCCCCATGTTGATCCGAGATCTGGAGCTTGTTGGATGGGAATAGAGCAGCCAAGTTGGGAGGTGGAAGACATTGGATTTGAAAGTGGCTCCTGGTTTGTGCTGTCCCTGATTTCTGCATGATGAAACAGAGGATGGGGTGCCCTGGGTTTCATTGCTACAGTTACTGGGTGGATGGGGCCCTTCAGATTCCATATGTTGCTGGTAGCCCTGAGGCTGACAGATCAAAGTCTCAGTTGGTAGGGTATCAATACCCACATTGCAGAGAGGAAGATACTGAAGCCTAGCACTATTTTTAGAGAACAATGGGCACTCTAAGCCACTGATGGAGCCACATGATCTCTGACATGAGTAGGGATTGCTGAGGCTGTAGAAGAGAGGAGCAGGGAAGCCAATGATGCTGCCCTGGCAGCCATGCGGTGGTTCTACCAGCCGTGGAATAAGCTGCCCTGAGTGGAAAACTGCTCCATCGTCAGTGCTGAGGGCTTGCACACGGAAACCCAAAGGGCTCCTGGCATTACAGTAGATGACATTACTGCCATCTTCCTCATCCACAGAGGCTAACTGGCATTCCCCTGTCTGCAGGTTGGGGATAAATTCACCATAGTGCCAGGTCTGGCCATGGTCATCACTGTAGAAGGTGAAGGAGTGGGGAGTTGTTTTGCAGAGCTTCCCAAAGCATTCCTTACAGTCAATGTGGTAGGTGTAGGCAGGCACCAGCAGACGCCCTGACTTGAGCTGAATTCCATGGCCAGGACCAAGGGCAAAGGTGGCCCATTCTGTGCAGGAGAGACCAGTGTTAGGAACCATCCCTCAACTCCTCTGACATTTCCCCCCCAAATTTCCTTATCCACAGACATGCATTTAGAGCTAGGGAAAGGAACTGAGCCTCAAAGTTTGACAAGCCCAGCATAGTACTAGCAATATAAGCACAGCCCCAGCATTCTGCCGCAACACGGCCTCCCAGGGCCCTGGACTTTCAAGTTCCAAGGGAGGGCCCCGAATCTAGAGGCAACTGGACTCCCAGAGCACCCATTACAAGATGAAGGTTCAGGGCAAGTAGTGCCAATCTCTTCTCACTAAACAGCGTGGTCAAGGTCATGGATGACCAAGAGTACATTCAAATACTACCCACCTCTCAGTGCCCTGCCTTCTTGACCCTCCCCTGTTCCTATTGACTCTCCTGTCCCACCTGTGTTATTCTCTCCCATTGTTATTGGCTGGCAAGAGAAAATATTACTGGGGGGGGGGCTGAGTAACCTGCCCACCTGACCCCTGACACTCCCTCCCATAGGGCCGTTGTGGGGCCAGTGTGCTCTGATGCTGTACACAGCAGCAAAGGAGTGTGTGGCAGGGGGACAGCATTGCGGCAGCAGGGCATGGTGGCACCATGGTGCTGCTGCTGTTACCAGCTGCTGTAAAATTAGTTGTGGGTGGGCTAAGCCCCATTATTCCTGGCCTTCTGCTACCTATGGGTGTTCCTAATTCCTTGATCCTGGGGATTCACCCAGAATTACAGGCCTGGGCACAGGCTGGGCAGGTGAGCCCTGGGCAAATTGAGGAGGGGCAGTGACACACCTCAATGGGCTTCCACCCAGAGCTTCCTGTCTTAAACCAGATACTGCTTTGATTTATGCTAAAGAGAAGCTAAGAAAGAACAGCTTATCCCACACAGCACACTCTGAATTTCTTCTCTCCCTCCCTCTCCCTGCCTGGTTCCTGGGATGTTTACCTTCAATGGCTCTGCCGATGACCTGCTCTGTCAAGTCAGTGACCTTGCTCCAGCTCAGACCCTGATTGGAACTAGCCACATAGCATAGGCGGGCAGCATTATGACCTGTAATTATCTGATAAGCTTCAGGAGTCTTGCCTAGTACAGCAATGAAGAAGAGGAAGACTATGCCTGTGAATTCATCATAGACTGGGCAGGGGTTCATGGACCGATGGTGCCTCAAGGTTGCAGTCTCGAGTGCTCTCATGTCTTCCCACTGTCAGAGAGAAGAGGACAAGACAGGGTGAGATTCCTGACTGATCTTCTCCTTCTTTTGCTCATCTTCTCCCTCAGACTGTGCACCTTTCCTCCTGGACTGCAGAGTTCATCCACTGCCTCCCAAGTCACTTCAGCCACCTCCTCCCACATGCTCCACAGCTCTGCCCATCCATAGTTCTCCTTTTCCATGTTTCTTCCAGTTTGATGCAGTTCTCCCAACTGGATGCAAAAGCTGTGATGCTCTTACACAGCTAGAAAAATAGTTATTCTGCACAGCAGTTTACCAATAAAATAGGCACAAGAGACTTGCTTCTCAGGTCCAGCCACATTGTGCTTAGTACAGGGCAGGATAGTGGGAGCAAAGTAATATGAGGTTATTCATATCCTTCCCCACACTGCAACATGAAACACCCAGCAGCTTCAGGGCTGCTGTAAATTAAATCATTGTGAAATGGTGCCTGAAAGGCTGTTATACTGTTGTACTCCAGCTATAGCTTCTCTCTTGCCCTTCATATGTCTCTTGGCCTTACTCTCTCACCTCCACAGAGTTCCTGTAGAAGGACCCCCGCCTTAGTACCAGCAGGTTGGCATGAGCATCATCAGCACTCAGCCTCTCCTCAGCAAAGGCCAGCAGCTTTCCCATGCAGTGGATATACAGCAGAGCAGGGACACGGTAAGTCACTCCATTCAGTTCCCTCTCAAAAAGCACTGTTCGAGCTGGAAAATGGCGAGATCCCATCCTGGCTGCAGCAAGGGGCAGAAAACACATAAACGCCTATTAATAAGAAATAGGAAAGATAGAGGCAGCTTCATCCTCTCAGCCAGTGGTTCAAGTGGGTGCATTTACATGTGTGCTTTAATGCACATTAGCCTATTTTAATGTGCATTAAAGCATCACAAAAAAACCATGCACTTTCACTAATGCACATTAAAATAGGCTAACGCACCTTTTTCTAGTACCTCACAATGGAGGTACTAAATTTAATGCACATTAGCAAAAGCACATTAATGAATGGGTAGATGCACCTCCTGAGTGGAACATGAACAGGCAGAGAACACTGGCCTGACGCATGTGGACATAAGCAGCAGTATACTGATCTAGTCAGCTGGGCACGCTCATGGTATGTTCTCTTTTAGGTCTTGAGAAAGGGGTGAGCATGGGTTTTCCTAGAGGTACCCCCCCATATGTGGAGCTTCTGTGGTCCAGTGTGGGAGGGTGTGCAGTGCACCATGGGAGCACCATGTGTACCATTACAGCCTTTGCCAGCAGGGTCATGCCTAGGGTAGGGGCAGGTGGCTGTTTGACAGCCCTTCTGTAAACAAAAGCCAAAACAATCACTCTTCTTTTTCCAGCCTATATTTATGGTTCTGCCTGGACAAAACAGGGCCAAGGATGGTTGAATTTGTTTTCTGGAATCCCTGGCTGGGTTGAGCAAGATTATTTCTGGAAGGAGCCCTGAATCCTTTACAAGTTCCTACCTTGTTTTATGAGCTATGCAGCATGATTGCAAGGGAAGGGAGGCAAAACAAATCCTGACACTCGAGTTGTGTATAGTAAGTTGTCAACCCCTGCTACCCCCCAAAATGACAGACAAGTATTGACCATCTACAGGACTAACTAAAAGACAGGCAAACTTCTGAATAGAGAGATCATAGGTGTGTGTTCTTTGCAAGATCCTCATTATCCTAAATTTATCAAGGGAGGACAGCAGGGAATTGGGGATGTGCTGTTTACCAGAGCGCCTCAGGGAATAACTAGGAATAATGGGTGCAAACTAGTGGAGAGAAGATTTAGGTTAGACATTAGGAAGACATTTTTTACAATAAGGGTGGCCAGAATCTGGATTGGGCTTCCAAGAGAGGTGGTGCTGTCACCTAACTTGGAGGTCTTCAAGAGGAGGCTTGACAATCACCTCACTGGGGACGTCTGACCTCGGTCCTCTTTCCTGCCAGAGGCAGGGGGTTGGACACGATGATCCATTGGGTCCCTTCCAACTCTATAACCTATGAATCAGACTAATATAATTCAATAGCCAGTAGAAAACTGCCCTCTGGAATTTCCCTATATCTGATGCATGTGAGCTGAGTCAATCCATACCTTTGCATAATAGACAGAGCCCACACCTTCTTACACAAAGATGGATACAGCATATGGAGCCATGATTAACTGTTTTTGGTGAGACCTCAGATCAGGTCCTTGGCTAATGAAATCAGTCTCTTTCCAGTGATGCTGATGGATTTCCACCAGCAGAAAATTTGGTCTCTTGACTCCATAATCCTGTACTGCAATCATGGGAATTAACTAGTTAATTAACTAGTTAAAAAGTTAAACAAATTGCTAACTTTTAACTTCAACTAGTTAAATTTTTCAGCTGTCAACTTTTAACTTTAATTAGTTAAAAAAAAAGGTTACCTTTAAGGTTTTTTTAAATATAAGTTAAAAGTTAAAAAAAATTGAAATTCAGCTTTCCCAGAGCTTTTCCTGACACAGCCACTCTCTAGGACTTGAAGCAATGAGGGTGAAGCAAATGATGACTTTTTTAATTTTAATGAAGATCAGAACCAGCAGCCCAGGGCCCAAGAAGTTGAGCATTACTTCTTATCTGTGAGAAACTTATCTGAGATGTCACCTACTGTGAAAAAGCTATTAATTCGTTATAACACAAGCATTCCCTCATCTGCCCATGCAGAGCAATTGTTCAGTAATGTGGGCTTAGTTTTGCAACACAGAAGAGGAAAACTGTCAGATGTCAATTTTGAAATGCAGCTTTTGCTGAAGTTCAATACACGTTTAAACCATTTCTGCTATGCAACTAGCAGTCTTTCTCTCATTTAAACTGATTTTCTCATTTCGGTCTAATTTTGATTTTTCAGGCACTTTCATTATATCTAATTCAGATGTATTTCGTACCCTTTTGTTACCTTTTGAGCAATAAAAAATTATAATAACAGGGGTTTTCTGTGGAAACAGCTTTCATTTGTCACCTGGCTATGAATATCTCCTTTCTGTTATTCTGGTATACCTACATGATGCATTGACTTTTACAAAGTACTTCACACGGAGAAGGTGAGAAGGAGCTAACATTACATAGGTATTGGTAAATTGTTATTCTGAAAACTGTATGACAAGTATAACATTGTTTTGGGGTAAAGCAGGGTGAGTTCTGAGTAAATTAGTGTGCTTCTGTGGGCTTATGGAAAAGAAACCCACTCATTGCATTTGAAAATGAAAAATGATGCTAAAAGCCAATTCATGCGTGTTTCATGCATTCCTCACGAATCAACTTAACTTTTAACTAGTTACTCTCTTTTTAACTTACCTTTTAACTAGTTGAAAGTGGAAATATTTAACTTTTAACTTAAGTTAATTTTAAAGGCTGCTAGCTTTTAACTTTAACTAGTTATATTTTTCATAAACTTTTTCCATGACTGCTGTACTGTATCATTGAGAAGGTCACCAAACCCCTGGAGACTTCATTAGGGTGTTTAGTCTCCTTTTAGTTGCCACTGTTTCTGCTTTAAATATCCATTATATTGTTGCATTTATTATATACTTAACCAGGAAACAAATAGCTCATATTCCTAACCTAGTGATGCAAGGAGAATCCAAGGCTCGTGGCACATGGAGCTAGTGTGATTAAGGCACACCAGTTTCTGTAACTAACCACACACACACACGCGCGCGAGCACTGTGGCTTACATCCACCTGCCTTTGACTCCCTAGTCTAAATAATCATGTGGCCAGTTAGAGCTCAGTTAACTGGGGGCAGCCTTCAGCTCAAGTTCAAAACAGAGCCCAAACTCGCACTTCTCAGACTGCTGTGAGACACCTTAACTGCTCTGCCACCATCCCTCCCCAAAAGGAAGACTCAGAGGAAAATCAGCAGTTTGCTAATGGAATCTGCTGCTGAGAAACCTTTGACCAGAAGTTTGAGGGCTGAGGTACAATAGTTGGGGCATTCATGTTCAACTAGAGCTTAAAAAAAAATGAACAGGAGCTTTACAGGAAGCTAAGCTACTGGAAAAGAATAGTGAAAAACTCACCTGCTCCCTTCCAGTTGGCCTCTTAATTTATCTCAAGATTAATGCTGATAGATCTTCTCCTGAGTCTAGTCCTATTTGCATTCTGATTTAAATACAATGTCCAGTGATCCAGTCACCCATTTTGTTTTTATTCCTCCAGGATGCATTTCATTTATATTGTGTTCTCTCCCAATAGACCCAACTCTTCAGCTTCCATTCCCCTCTCTCGGCCCCAACAGCTCTCACAAAACTCTAATAGCAGAGCTCCTCAGTGACCAGCAAAAACCCCTGAGTCAGCAGATAGTGGCTCAAACAGCGAAGTCAGAAAAACAAAGGCCTCATTGTCAGGGAGCAGTGAAACTAATCAGCAGTGGCCCAAGTTCAGGTACCCAAAGCCCTTCATTTCTATCTTATTTATTATTAGAGAGGCCACAGGAATGGAAAAAGTGCTTACACATAGACACAAATATAATTCCCCTATTTACATAGAGGTCAGGAGTTACACAGGGCCTGCCACAGACAACATTTCCCAAATGAAAATGGAAGAAGAGGTAATGAGATGATTGGCAGCTTCTGCATTTGAACAAACAAGGCTTGATTCTCTTCTTGCACCGTTAGCCTACTGTGTTATACAGTTATGTAAAAAATCTTACCCACAGGCGAACAGGTGGCCAAAACCTTGCTGGACAATGTACTTTCAAAGTTGCATTAACTTCCAACTTAGAAGGTCCTGTTCCCAAAGCAGTGGTACAGCAGAAACTAAAATATGAAGTAAAATGAGCTATAGAGATACCACAGCGAGGGTTCTCAGTTCATGATCTCTGGTCCACAGTGATGTCTAACTCAGAGGTTGAGCATCTATCATTGTTCAAGCAGCATTGAAACCTGTTAGTTGTTACTTTAGCTAAAACTCTTTAACGATATGTCTACACTGGCATTTAGGTAAGGAGATGTAGCCAAAGAGTTGCCCTATGCTATCTGTGTCTCATCTTGTGATTCTCACTGAAGCTGTCTACTCTGTGGTTTCTGTTCCTTGGGTGGGAGTCCTTCTAGGAACCGATCTGTGAATGATGTTTCTTCTTCCATGCGGGACTCTACTTAGGGGCAACAGAAACAGGAAGTGGGGTGCCAGAAAGACATCAGGAACAGAAGACTGAGGGGTTGCTCCCAGCAGACTTCCTGGGCTCAAGGCCTGCAAGCCTGGTGGAGTTCCAAACAGACTGGAGGAAAGGGCAGGGTCGACCTCGTACCATGAAGTTCAGTAGTTCCCAGGCCCCAAGGAGGGGGTGAGCTTAGAGTTTACAGTATAAATAAGGACTGTCCAACTGGTGGCCTGTGGGTCACAGCTGGCCAGCAGGGATTAAAATGAGGTGCATGGCTCCTGCCTGACGGCCACTCCTCTTATTGCTCCAGATGCTGTGGTGGCTGGGGTCTCTGGAGCAGAGCAGCATGGTGGCAGGGGGCCTAATGAACTCACAGTCTACTTTGCTGCCTTCAGCTAGTCCTATGAAGGCAATGAACCAATGTAGGCTGCCCTATCTGGGACTTATGAAGTTTTTCATGGGATATGGCTTGCAGAAGACAATGAATGTGCTGATAAATGTGCTGAAGTCACAATCATTACACCATTGAAATCATGTTGGACTTCAGGAACCACACATGATCTAGGAGTATTCATGCAATTTGGCTTGAAATGTGGATTCGTTTACCTCAGGTCCTCTGAGTACTTTGCAGAGCATTAAACTTCCCATATGTTTTCTGGTTAGAAGTTTTACCCAAGCCTGTTTTATTATAGCTTAATGTCATTGTCACTGGTGCAGTTTCACTCTCATTATTTTACGTCAGACAACCTGATCTCTCTGTAAAGCAGAACATTCAAATCAGCAAAATATTGGATGATGAACTGACCTTGTCTGGGATCAGAAAATTCTCTCTCTTATGATTGTGTTTTCATCCTGCTGCACATTTCTTTCTGGACTATTGATACTTTCCTCTTCACAAAACATCAAGATACTGTTTACTACTGCTACCTGTGACAGAAGGGTATCTCTTGCTTATCTCACCTGCTGTGCCCTCTTGTGGGGTCTCTCT